TGATTACTCACATATACTGTGATTCAATTTGAAGGTGAAAGAATATTACCTAGTGGACAGATCTCATTAACTGTTCTTTCACAATATATTGCAATACAGAAGAGTGTATCGCAATATATCGCAATACGAAATTTGGGGCAATACACAGCCCTATCACTCACTCACAATCGTGCATTACTCACTTCAGACACTGACAAAACCATCTTAACTCATTCTGTCAGTGTGCACTCCCACCCAGCTTTTTAAGCTGATCAGAACTTTTCTTGATGCCAGAGCAAACCGATTAAAACAGTTCGCAAGCTTAAAAAGGAATCTAACATCCCTCGTTTATCAAGATTACAAAGAGCGTCATACAACCCATGCTCAGAAGTTATTCCATCAAGATTACCACATTCTATCTGAGAAATTTGGATATTTTACAGCCTCTTCATATCCCCAAGTTTTATCCCATGTCTCCGTGCATACAGTGTATTGGCGTATCTACATTTTCATTCATATGTGATTGTGTGTTGGGTCAGTGGCCTAACTTTAATGAAATACTGTCTATTTGTTGGTCTGTTTATCTTAATCGGGCAGAAGCGGTTTATGGTTTACGGATTGATACAGGTAAAACGATATATAAGTTACTGTCTCTCTACGCCCTGAAAACACTTAACCTGAGACACCGTTACAAAACCTTCGTTAGACTGCGTGCGTAATGAATATCGCTCCTTACAAAGATGCTAAACCACAACAATTCTTATCACGAGGCAGTGGCAGTTACAGTCCATACAGGGGGACCACTTTCTGTTAGAACAGCCAGGTGCGCGAGTTGCACGTATGAAATTGAAATTTCACTGCAGACGCTTGTTGATTACCTGGCTGTTCTACCAGCAAGTGGCCCCCCCTCGGTAACAATAGCGAAATGTAACAACAAAATAATGATCGTTTGTTAAAGAACTTTTTTATTCGCGTGTCCAAAATTATGACAAAAATCATCAGAGTTGGTCTGTCGATTTCATGTGACTGTGCAAAATTCGGTTTTGTTGCAATTTTTAGATTTTGTCAGCGAGCAGTTCATCGGTGTAAATGAAATCCAACGGACTGTAGCAGTCTACAGTCTCCCCACTGTTCACCATTAAGACGATGAAGGTCTTCCTTCAACAGAGCGAGTTATAATCCGTGTGCCGACTTATATATTCTACATGGCTGTATTGACATTTATGGAACATAATAATGAATGAGACCCTATTCGGCACATACTGACCCTTTTCTACGGGACTAATTTGGTGATAAAAAGTGTTACAATCAAACCCGTTCAACCCAACATCAAATGGTCTCTTCCTTACACTGTAACACACTTTTACCACAGGTCACGCAGCAACTTGCTAACGTAGATGCATATATCTTCTCTTTGTCAACTGACGTACCCAGAACACACTACTCCAACGCACCCCCTCAACAGCACTCAGTAACATCCTACCCACCAGGGCCTCATTTCACAAAGGACTAAGGTGATCGTAAGTCACTAAGGTAACCTTAGTGCAATGTTAAAGGATGGGAGTTAAGGTTAATCTTAGTAAAGGTTGCTTCGTGAAAGGAGCCCTAGACCAATCTCCATCAAAACCATCTCATATCAATTAACCCAACCACAGACCCGTGATGGTCTGGGTTTGAACTGGTCTTCAGCAACCAATGCCTTTTATGCATCTGTTGTACATCTGTAGTCCCTCACAGACAAACTCTGGTGAACAAAAGTTCATAAATAAATATAATAACCCGTGAAGATCCGGATTAAATTTGCAACCCATGCTTGTCATAAGCGGCGACTAACGGGTGGGTGGGTCGGGTAGTCGGGTTCCTTGACTTGGTTGACACATGTCATCTTATCACAGTTGCATCGATCGATGCTCATGCTGTTGACCACTGTTTACAACCGCTGCCATATAGTTGGAATATTGCTGATTGCGGCGTTAAACAAACAAACCTCACTACACAATACCACTTTATATCACACCTCCCATACACGCCTACTATACCCACAGAACAACATTATGAAGGCCACTCACCTGCTGGTCACCTGCAGAGTGTGCATGATGGGGACGATAGTGAATATTCCTATGAAATAGCTCAGAGCCATAGCAATCACGTGTAGCACAAAATTAATTCCCGTCGTGAACGTCTCCGCTGGCATTCCTATAAGTGACGTGGACGACATGAACGTCACAAACAACGACAACGTAACAGGAATCACATGTAGTTTCCTTCCTCCGAGAAGATATTCTTCTTTAGTATTTCTCTTCCTTCCTTTAATGGCAAGATAGACACCCATACCCAACGGCACCGACAACGTTGCTGCAATCACGACATAGTCGACAAAGGATAACGTCGGTGACGCAGCCATGTTGTATGGTCGACCACGCACTGTTTGCTCACAGCTTACATTTCATTACACAACACGAATGGAACTTTAGAATTCTGAACGTAGGGGTGACAGGTTGGATTAAGTATTAAGTATACATTTCCCATTCATTTGAAGATGTGCTTGTTTGAAATTCGACATGGTGAAAATCAGTCACACAGAGACAACAGTGTTGAATGACGGTTTAAGTCGCTCGAGAAAACCCAACAGGGCTATTCTCATTCTGAACACAGGGGTGACAGGTTGGTTTGCATTTTAGGTTACACAGTACAGCCAGAAATTATTGAGAATTTAAGATTGTAATTTTTGTATTTTTTTCACTCATTACTCGCGTATTAAATGTGAATATTAGCAGAACATAACGCCAGATTCAAAGACAGGTGAACAGTTAGTATTTTGTCAAGTCACCATGGGCAGCAATGCAGGCTTCAAAGCGGCGGGGCATACTGCTAATCAAAGAAGTCAGAAAGTCGTGGTCCATGCTGTCCCAATATCGGACCACATCTTCTTTCATTTCAGCAATATTTGTCAGATTTTTCTTATTGACACTTTCCTTCATAAGTCCCAAAACATTTTCTATTGGATTTAGGTCAGGGCTATAGCTTGGCCAATCTAATAATGTCATAATTTGGGTCCGAAACCAGGCCTGTGAATGCTTTGAACGATGTTTCGGGTCGTTGTCCTGCTTGAAAATACAAACATTTCCATAGAACATGTGAGCAGATGGAAGTAAATGTCCCTCGAGAATATCTGTGTACCGCCCACTGTTCATATTCCCTTCAAATACACAGAGGGGCGTTGCCCCTAACACAGATATGCCACCCCACACGTTAAATTTCGGACTGTACTTTGGGCGCTGATACACAGGTTTTTCAGTTTGTTTGGTCCAGAATTTCAGTGTATTAGGAAACAGCCACACAGAACTTTCATCTGAGAAAATCACATTGTCCCAGTTAAAATTTCTATGCTGTAAGCACTTCGCTCCTTTTGTTCAGGTTTCATGATCGGTGATGGAATTCCTCGACTTTTCTGCCAACCCACTGCATGCAGGTCAGTTCTTATTGTCTCCTTACAGACAACCACAGTTCCTCTATCAATCATATCCAGCCTTACGTTTTCTAAACTCCTTCGTTTGTTTTTAGAAATAAGAATACCAAGCCGCCTCCCGTCACCGACAGTCAATTTTCTGGGCTTACCTGAGCCTCCCTGGAGCTCAATGCCATATCCATTTACAATATTATTCAAAACACGATAAACAGTGGACAAAGGGTTGCCTGTTCTATTTGAAATCACTTTAGCTGATCTGATGTCCTTGTTATAATACTCTAAAATCAACTTCCTCTTCTCTAAAACATCCATACTGAGGATCACTGAAAATGTCGTCTGCTAGCAAGTAAACAAAGAGGGATAACTCTTCACAAACTAATGAAAAAGGATTAACGGGATGGTCTCTCTTGAATGAAACCAAGCACTTGATAGCTGGTCAAGGTTGTTTATATTAGAAATCCAATTAAACATATTCCTAAAATTCTCAATAATTTCTGGTCACACTATATATAAACATAACATATAGTGAATGTTTTAAGCGAGTCTAAACTTTTGATGGGTAGTATCTATGCTTATCGTGTAGTCGGAGTCGTACAATGGACTCTGCTGAATGGTTTTTTTATGGTTATGGACGTCACGCCGAAGACCCGTGTTCGATTCCCCACTTGGGTACAAAATGTAAAGCCCATTTCTGTCCCCGGCGTGATATTGCTGGAATATTGCTAAAAGCGGTGTAAAGATTAAACTCAGTCACTCACTCACTGACCTTAAGTTCCCCACAATGTTATGTTATGTTTAACTGATTATTGTCAGGAGTCAATAAGAAGTACACCTGTGCTCTATCCCTTCTTCGTGTTGGACGATAAATTTGTTTAAAAGATGATTCCAGTGTTTCGGCGACTATATCGTTTACTAGATGTTTGGAATTCTTTGTCAAACCCGATTAATGTGTATATTTCAGCCAGTTGCCTCAAGATGAGGTTCTTCTGAGCATGACAGTGTGATTATACACAGCAAAGTCAGACTTCGGCAGAATGTTTAGTTTGACTTGAGTGACAACAGGTTATTATTGAACAACACTGTAACATAATATTGTCGGAAATAATAACATCCCTTTAACCAATCACAGAAGATGACCATATATATTATTTAAATCGTATCTTAATAGGTTCAAATACAAGATGTTACTAATAATTACTTAACCTAAGGTATACTGATTTTGATAACGACAAAAACTTGGATCGAAAGAGAACAGTTTCCAAGAGCAATAAATGTCATACCATTATCTGAGGCTTCCGCTGATCGCCTATGGACAACGGGATGTAGGGTAGCAAGGTGGTCACAGTGCTTGCTTTTCTTGCCAATAGTCCGCGTTCTGTTCTGCAACCTTACTTACTCATTTCAGTGCAGTGCATTACCAGGTCGCTTTACCTGTACACAAACTACTTGTACTGTTATAGTATTTAGAGTGGGTGGCTGCTAATTTACCTGGCTTTGACTCGATTGTTTACTGACCGCCGTCACATCCGAAACTCATTCACAGCAGACACTGACAAACCCAGTCTTGACTGGGTGACAGTGTTCGTCTCAGTCTGATTATGTAACAGTCCGGCATGCTGCACGTGCAGTGATACGGGGAAGAACATTTACAGTCACGGGTGATGTCTGCGTGGGGAGTCAGCTCATGTGAGGTATTGTTGATTTTGAAATTTCATGCGTCCTTGTGTTCAATATATTTACATTGGATGAGTAGGCCTACATCACAAGTGGAATGTGTTATAATATGATACCCTTCAATCCTATCCTCCCTCGACCCGTGAAGGTCCGGGCTAGAATATTCATCTTCAGTGGCCCATGCTTGTCGTAAGAGGCGACTAACGGGATCGGGTGGTCAGGCTCGTTGACTTGGTTGACGCATGTCTTCGGTTCCCAATTGCGCAGATCGATGCTCATGCTGTTGATGACTGGGTTTTCTGGTCCAGACTCGATTATTCACAGACCGCTGCCAAAGAGATGAATGTTGCTTAGTGCGGCGTAAAACTAAACTAAACTCACTCACTCACTATCCTCCCTCCGGCCCTATCCACCCTATCTTCACTCAGTCCGAAATGGTAATATCGATGTTTATCTCTGGATTGTCTTGTTCAGACTTGGTTATTGACAAACTGCTGACATATAGCTAGTGTATTGCGGAGTCCTGCATGAAACAACAAGCGAATTATATGATTGATTACAAAACAAGATATATATCTCTTCTAGAGGGTAGACTATGGAGATTTGGCTGGCGGCAGTTTACGTTTTAAACGTATCTTGTGTGAGTATCAGTCAGCACCAGTTTTGTTTTCTTTTATGTCAATCGTTCTCTATTTGCTTAGTGAGTGTCCATATCAGTTTATGTTTTGTGTATCAATAATTTATGGAGTGTGAGTATCAATCTCTTTTATTTGTGTTTTCTGTGATGTCAATCAGTATTTGTGTAGTGAGAGTACCAGTATCTATGTATTATGTTAGTATCAATATATGTTTTGCTTATCAGTCTTAATTCATTCGGGGGCGGTGGAATAGCCTAATGGTTAAAGCGTTGGCTCGTCACTCCGAAGACCCGGGTTCGATTCCCCACATGCATGGGCACTACGTGTGAAGCCCATTTCTGGTGTACCCAACCGTGATATTGCTGGAATATTGCTAAAAGCGGCGTAAAACCATACTCACTCACTTCATTTATACAGTGTGAGTATCAATCCCTATTATTAATTAGATTTCTGTGATGTGATTTATTATTAGTTCAGTAGGAGTAGGGGCGGTGGGGTAGTCTAGTGGTTAAAGCGTTGGCTCGTCACGCCGAAGACCGGGGTTCGAATCCCCACATGGGTACATTGTGTGAAGCCCATTTCTGGTGTCCCCCGCCGTGATGTTGCTGGAATATTGCTAAAAGCGGCGTAAAGCCAAACTCAGTCAGTCAGTAAGAGTATCAGAATATATGTATGTTGCGTAAGTATCAATTTGTTTTGAGCATCAATCCTTTTTATGGTTTATGGTTCATTTATTTGGTTTCCTGTGATGTCAACCATTCTGTATTTGTTTCGTTAAAGCTTCAGTTTCTATTTATACCTTTTGAGTATCAATCTCTTGTTACGTTTCATGCTACTGTCAAACTAAGTCCAATGATCTAGATATTTATATGTACACCATATACTGTATTCCGAGACACAAACTCGGCATTGCCCGAATAGCAACTATAACCCGTGAAGATCCGGGTTAGAATTGATCTTCAGTAACCCATACTTGTCGAAGAGGTGACTAACGGGTTTGGGTGGTCAGGCTCGTTGACTTGGCTGAAACATGTCATCGGTTCCCAATTACTCATTCTGTTAATCACTGGATTGTCTGGTCCAGACTCGATTATTTACAGACCACCATTATATAGCTGGAATATTGCTGAGTGCGGCGTTAAACAATAACGAAACACACAAACCAACTAGGTAGTCAAACAGTTTAAAGACGCGTCGCGATGTTTAAACACGGTTCCATGTCTAGACCCGCTCCAATGTTGAAATGGGTGAGTGAGTAAGTTTAGTATTACGCCGCACTCAGCAATATTCCAGCTATATGGCGGCGGTCAGTAAATAATCGAGTCTGGACCAGACAATCCAAGCATGGGTTACTGAAGATCAATATTCTAACTCCGACCTTCACTGGTTAATGTTGAAATGAAGTATGCAGGTGACAGTATGGCTTTTGATCTAAACCCACGAAGATCCCGGTAAAAATTAATCGTGAGTAACCCATGCCTGTCGAAAGAGGCGTCGATAGGGACTGGGTCGTCACGCACACTTGGTGATACTTGTGAACGTATTTCAATTGCGTATGTGCTCACGATGTCTCTCACTTTATTGTATGACCAAGACTCTTATATTTACAGAGTTTACAAGTTTTTTAATAAATGCGACAAAATTTTAATTTTGCAGTTGTCCGTTTTAGCGAAGATTCCTGCCGGCTATATTCTCAAAGGTATGTCCCATTTCATATTAATACATAATTTATATGTAAATGAAGCCACCTTTTGTCCATCCAAAATTATACATAACTTGCAAACTGCTCTTTGTGCATTCAAGCATGCATGTCGAAAAGACGATCAGGAAGATACTGGGCATTAAACTAGAGACATGAACATTGCATTTCTACAACTAAATGACGTTAAGAAGCTGGTATGAGGATAGACAACTTCTTCATTGCAATAGGTTGGACGTTTCGGTGCAGATGCTAACACCGTTATCTAGCAAGTAATACACAACATTATGCACAAGGAGAAGGGGATATTTCAGTTTCTAAAATTGAAGAGATTGATGTACAATGTGATTACATTACATTTTTGTATACTGAAACATTTAAACTGTGTTGAAAACATTATTATACAAATAACATGTAAGCCTTCCATATTGTAAATGATAAATATGTAGGAACATGCTCCATAGGGAAATGAATCATCATCTATACAGATAACACAGGTATGTAAGACAATGAGCAATATCTGCAGTTCAAACTAACGCTTAGTCTCTGAATATATATCATTTGAACGAAACAAATAATTCCTGTTAAAATGAGCCCCGGTAAGATCCTAAACCTGAGATAAATCTACCCATGCTTCATTGGGACCGTTCATAATTCATGGCTAGAGGGGTGAGGATTTTTTATGGAGAAGCATGTACAATGTGAATGACAAAACACCCCACCCAACACAGTCTATAAACGCCTCACACAACATTACGGTGTGTTACATCCTACATGCAGAGAACAGGTTAAGGAGGACTATACGAGTATGTGTTAGCTCATTAAAATAATTGCATCGCCTAAGCAACTTAACATTTATTCTTTAAAGTTTGACAAACAACCTTTTTAAAAAGGAAATATGTGAAGCGTAAACCTGAAGCCTTTGTACATCTGATTTAAACTTTCTGCGTGGTTGGAGGGAGGGTGTATATGGAAGGGTTAACCTCAGTTGATTTAGTTTGTTTGATAATAAAATTAATATTGTATTTATTTATATACAGTGAGATACAAATACAACTATTTTAACTATTTGATTTTTTTCTCCCGTTTCCTTGAGCTGCGGAATGTCCAATATGTTATTTCAATCATTAGCTTCAGTACACAGGGACGGTGGGGTAGCCTAGTGGTTAAAGCGTTCGCTCGTCACGCCGAAGACCCGGATTCGATTCCCAACATGGGTACAGTGTGTGAAGCCCATTTCTGGTGTCCCCGCAGTGATATTGCTGGAATATTGCTGAAAGCGGCGTAAAACTAAAAACTCACTCACTCACTTAAGTACACAATGTAGCATCCTGAAACTGTTCGAAAAACGTTTGCGACAAGTTTCGCAACAACCTATCCTACCCATAGTCCCTTGCTGTAACATCCGGGTTAAGGTAGGTCTTCAGCAACACATGTCGAAAAAGCGACTAACGGGATCGGGTGGTCAGTCGCGCTGACATGATTTACACATGTCATCGTATTCCAACTGCGTGGATCGATGCTCATGATGTCAATCACTGGATCCAGACTGGTCCAGCCTCTATTATTTACAGACCGCCGCCATGAAGCTGGAATATTGCTGATTGCGGAGTGAGCAAACAAAAATCCTTCCGGTAAAGCTGGTACTTCTGCCAAAAGCCAGCAAAAAGAAATTTGTTCATCATCTTTTTCTGTTTTTACAACTATACATCACAGACACACATTCATGCAATGACCACAAATTGATCACCTATGAAATAAATATCCAAGAACATAAATTATCCCAATAATACTGGAAAATTTAATCACCCAATTCTCGAAGGTATAGAGACCGATTTTTGATTCTTTTGTACGACGCTCAGGGGCGGATACAGCTTTTTGAGGACGGTGTCGGGGTTGGGGTGGGGATTGCACAGTTCATTTTCACGGGTTTCAATGGTCATTTAATAAACTTTCAGGACAAAACGGGGGTGCGCACCCCTGCACACCCCATCTGGACCCGCCTATGACGCTTGTTTACTGTGTAAGATGTAATGTATATTATTATGCATTTAACACGGGGATATATATAGATATATTTGTTTTTATATAAGATACATGATCTCCATGTTGACGTTCTATTGTTACCAAATGACAGTCACTCCTCACTGTGGGGCTCATCCGGTTCGTCCCGCCCTGGTAACCATCGTAACCGACCTGACAGTTTGCGCCGTGGCTGAATGTGCAGAGAGAACAGTTCCTTTCAAGACTTCTGACGGGGTCAACTTTCAGCTGTTTATTGCCTACCCGGGACAGAGTAATCTCCCTTGTGTATTCAAGGTAAACTGGCCGAAATTTGCTGCTGGTGTATGGCACGTTCGGACATGGCTCAGGGTCATGTTTGCTTATACATATACAGTGTTGGTCAAGTGGCTACATTGGTGGGTGACCATCACTTTGAATTTTGACTTAAATATCACATCTTACAAGGGTGGTGGGGTAGCCTGGTGGTTAAAGCGTTCGCTCGTCACGCCGAAGATCTGGGTTTGATTCTACTTTGGTAGACAAGCTCATTTGGTGTCCCCCCTCTATGACAGCGTTGGAGTATTGCTAAAACCATGCTCACATCTTAACACGGCGGCATTTAATGATGGCGGTGACGTAGTGGTAAAAGCTGCCATTCAATACGCATAGTTTCAGAGTGGGTCAAGGTGACCTAATTGTTCATCCTATATACAGCGGCTTACATGAACGTTTTTGACTGCTTGTAACTGCCTGTGGCGATCTATGCCGATTATTGTCGTTGCCTGCTAGTTAGAGTAAAATGAAGAGACACGCGAGCTACTCTTCTTTACTCTACATGCTGAAGACATGATTTATCCTCTAAATGTCAAGTGTCATATTTTTGCGTCCTTTTGTATGACGCGGCTACGTGACCGAACCATCAACCTTCCACTCTCCTGCCCGACATTGCGTCCACTTGACCTGGGTCAGACACGTTTCCGCGTCGTCGTGTGAAATACTGCTAATTCACTGTTGTGTGTCATGAAAGGTTGTGTCCCTTTTCCGTACAAGGATCCTCTTATCGCGGTATTAATTACTAGATTTGTACTGCTTTATTTAGCACCATAGCCTTTATCCGACATTGCGCCCGGAATTATGTGGTTCAGATTTTGGACAGAAAAGCTTTTTCATCATTAAACATAATGGGAAGCAATCTTGATTTCAGAAACAGAAGCATGTGATGACGTTTGTTGTGAAAGTCTTGGTATCGTACGGTGAAAGGGAAAGATCACTGCGCCGAAAAGAGAAAGTAACCATCATCTGTACCTTCGACGGCAAAAATACCAGTGGTTCACAGACATACAGCATTATCCAGAAGTGAGTCACTGACACACACACATATAACACCGGCCAGAGTCAGCCACTGACACAGAGAATGTACGTTCAAACACACATTCTCAGTTGTCTGAACTACATTATGATCTACATATTGCTTTTTTACTATTTCTTACCTCCTTTCACCATTGGGGAGCTTCAGTGCTCTTCGGGTTAAAAAGATAGTCCTTTTGGACCTAGTCTCCAGTCACATATATACTGAGTCAAAAAAGAAACTTCACATTCTTTCTTCAGAGCACTATAAAAGAACAAGAGATGGTAAGATGGTTAAATTGTTATTATTTCATTGCTGAGATCTGTGTGATGTACACGATACACTGACAGTGCCATAATCAGTTCCATTAGGCTACACCGCCGTTCCAAAACATGGGTATACAGAATGTCAAGTCACAAGAATAAATGCGAAATTTCTCAGTTCAATATCGTGTATGGCCGCCCCACGCATTCACCACTGCCAAACACCATCTCCTCATCGACTGCCTGATGCTTGTGAACACGTGGTTGGGGATTCTGCGCCATTGCTCTTGCAAGGCAGCGCCAAGTTCCTGCAAATTCTGAGGTTGGTTCCTAAGACCACGAAGCCTTCTCCCAAGTGCATCCCAAACGTGCTCTATTGGATTAAGGTCAGGCGACCTCGATGGCCAGTCCATGACGTTGATTCCAGCGTTTTGAAGGAAATTTCGTTTCAACATCGCGGTATGCGGCCAAGCATTATCATGCTCGAACTGTAGACCTGGGCCATGAGCCGCCATGAAAGGAACGAGTTCAGGGGTGAGCACCTGGTCGCGGTAAGCAGCAGCTGTGAGGTTTCCACGGATGACCAGAAGTCGGGAACGGTTGTTCCCACAGAAAGCACCACACACCATGCAACTTCCGCCCCCGAATCTGTCGACTTCCTGTACACAACATTGGGCATACCGTTCAGGACGTCGTCTCCAGACTCTATGCCTGCCGTCCGCGAATCTGAGGGTAAACCTGGATTCATCGCTAAAGACGACTCGATTCCAGTCTCTCTGGGTCCATCGGAGGTGACGTTGGGCACACAGCAGACGTTGACGTTGATGAAACGGCGTCATTATTGTGGCCCACGATATGGACGTCGAGAATGGAGCTTGGCAGCCCGCAAACGATTTCGAATGGTCTCTGAGGACAGTCGACCTCTAAACAGATCTTCCCCCTGCTTGCAACATTCCAACGGCACGTTCACGTTGCACATTTGTCAATCGTGGCATTTCAAGTACCGTTAGAACTGTGGTTTAAAAGTGTTTTTTCATTTCTTGAGGCCAATGCGAACACGTCATATGAAGAAAACTTCGATGCGAAGATCACGTGATCGACTGCACGTGCAAAACCTGATTTAGCACTAACGTCATTTGCACGACGAATGGATGGGTTTGAGTGGGTTTTGCTAACGTTTTTCTAGAGTCGAAAGATAGGGATCCCATTTCGGATACCAAGATGTATCATCAGAGAAAAATTATTCATTATTTTTCAAATTACATTTTGTGAAGTTTCTTTTTTGACTCAGTAATATATGCTGGTGGAAAGCCGCGACAAAATGGGTTGGTGGTTAGGTCAGGTTGATAGTGCATGATTGTACCGAGACAACATTAATGGTATTTCACTATAACGAGCGCGTGAAGCCCATTTCTGGTGTCCCCCGAGGTGATATTGCGGGAATATTGCTAAAAGCAGCTTAAAACCATATTCACTCACTCACTCTCTCACTCACTCACTTGAGCAATGGAGTGTCACATAGCTGGATTAGTGCTAACATCAGCGGTTTACAAAAGTCACTCCTTACTAAAACAGTCTAAATGATATACTGTTATGTAGTATTTGTTATTTATTGTAGACTACTTGCACCGATGGAGATCCAACGTAACGTGGGCCAGGACAGCAACGCAACTTTCACCCTGAGATTGACAGACATCTATGGCAACGACCTGTCCAGCAGCTCAGTCCATCTTGGCCGAACAGTTCAATTGAGAGCATCTGCTGTCGGTAGGTCCCGTTTCGATGGGGCACGGTGCACGGGGCACGGGGCACGGGATCAGGGGCCCTGTCGCACAGGAGACGCACTATAGGTATATAGTCTCGAAAGTTCCCTTTAAAAGGTTGATGGATAGGTCTAAGCCTAAATTGCTTTAAATATGTGCACAGTCCAAGAGATTTGTTTTAAAATTACACAGTAGCACGCTCCCAATTTCACATGGATGTCACTAGTCACGCAATGACGAAATAAGGTACCAGAACCCTGCTTCATGTCGTCAAAGGTTAGTCCCGTGGTGGTTCAAGGCAGAACCGATCCCAATGATCGATGAAGTAGACTAGCTGGGGTATCCTTACTTCACTTCACTTCAGTTCACGTCACATCACCTCAGCAAAGATGCAAGTCTCAGTGTAACTGACGCGTTGGTTCAAACCGGCGATAAACTGAAGTGTGACATACAGATATGCTGTAGTTAGTGAGTGAGCGAGTGAGTGGGTGAGTGGGTGAGGTTTTACCTCGCTTTTAGCAATATTCCAGCAATATCACGGCGGCGGACACCAGGAATGGATTTCACACATTGTACCCATGTGGGGAATCGAACCCGGGTCTTCGGCATGACGAGCGAACGCTTTAACCACTGGGCTTCAACACCGCCCATGTTGTGGTTAAAATATAAGGCGACACAAGTCCCTTTGGTTACAATTCCCTGTGTTTAAGAGTCCATGTGATCACTAACAATTCAGAGAAAACTGTCAACTTTCCTTTCTTTCTCAGGACTGCCAATCGATGCCAACATGATGCCGGTCTCCTGTGATGCGGTGTCCACTGTCAGCGGGACACGGTATTCCATCCTCAGAGCAGGGTATGTCGTTTAAAGGAACACCTAGAGTTTCAATCCCGTTCCTGCTTCACGAATTATTCCTCCGCCCTGATATTCCTACACCAACAATGAAAAGGGTTTAAAACCCAGGCAACTCACTGTACCATACGTATGTGGGGGCTAGCGACCTCCCCAAGGATGTCATGCGGATCCAAGCCTGAGGCAAGCCATGACGGTGAATCCAAAAGGAGTAAATCCAATAGCTCCTGAACACATGACACCAAATGTCAGTCACGACGCGGTCTTGACAAGGAATGTCAAACCTCCGAACTACGTACACAGTCGCCTTCTGTTTTCGGGCTTTTTATAGAATAGAAAATATTGTGTTTTTGTAAATCAGATGTCAAGTAATCACATGCAGTTATATACATTTAAATATTTTGAAATGAAATAAAACTGAGAACTAATTCTAAAATATGGGCATTTGAACAACATGTCATCTTAAGCAGAAATGTGATCAATTCCAAAAGACACATTCACTTGATGGATGGGCGTCAGAACCTGGCATTGTCCGCTGGTAAATGACACACGACACATGGTGAGGTCCAACTGTCCGTTTCTTTGGCGATGCTTCAAACTGTTTCTCTGCGCATGACGTACAATGAAATGGCGGCAGCAGCATCAAGAAACTGTACATCTCGTATTGTTGTCATATCAGCTTCAGTCATGACCAAACTTTGATGTAGTTTATAGTTTGGCTGTTGTTTAACGCGGCACTCGGCAATATTCCAGCTATATGGCGGCGGTCTGTAAATAATGGAGTTTGGACCAGACAATCCAGTGATAAACATCATGAACATCGATCTACGCAATTGGGATACGATGACATGTGTCAACCAAGTCAGCTGGCCTGACCACCCGATCCCGTTAGTCGCCTCTTACGACAAGCATGGGTTGCTGAAGACTAATTCTAAACCGGATCTTCACCAGTCTGGTGTAGTGTATGCCTAATTTGGGCATGTTGTATCCTGCGTAACTCGATGAACTGCCGATCGTTTGTTAACGTATGTTTGCTGACATGTTTCGCTATTGTGGATATCAGTTGTGCATATTGTTTAAGTACGTGCTCAGAATATCCTAACCAGTCTCTCCTGTGTGTATGATTAGCCGAATTCAATAATGGCGTATCACTGACTGACTGAGTTTAGCTTTACACCACTTTTAGCAATATTCCAGCAATATCACGGCGGGGGACACCAGAAATGGGCTTAACACATTGTGCCCATGTGGGGAATCGAACCCGGGTCTTCGGCGTGACGAGCCAACGCTTTAACCACTAGGCTACCCCACCGCCCCCAATAATGACGTATCAATATTTCTGGATACGTTTCTTTCGGACACCAAAGTGACTGGAATTTGTAACATGAATTATGCGTTCCCATTGGAACTCACATTTTCAGCTCCTTCAGTCTAGCAGTTTCTGGGAACAGGTTTTCAGTACAGTGTGAGAAACGTTAAGAATCAGGATCAAAACCGGCATGTGGTGTTGGCTCCACACTTAACAAACACCATTCCATTCCAATGGCCGAGAAATGGCCCCAAATAGAGTCTATTTCAATATGAAATGTGCCATATTTACATACGCCGCTCACTACGGACGCCATGATGTAAGACATGACTTAAACCCACTTCATTCCTTCAGCCAGGTGCCCTAATAACACGTCGGGTCGGTGCGGTAGCCTATTGGTTAAATCGTTGGCTCGTCATGTCAAAGGCCCGGGTTCGATTCCCCAAATGGGTACAATGTGTGAAGCCCATTTCTGGTGTCCCCCGCCGTGATATTGCTGAAATGTTGCTGAAAGCGGTGTAAAACTAAACTCACTCACTCACTCCCAGTTATTTTAGCATTACAAGCCCCTGTGGATACACATACGCACAAATCCATAATTACACAAAGTCTCACTCGAAAGTAGGTTTTACAATACATGTGAAAAATGGCAAAATATCTTTGATATTGCAATTCCATGGCAACATATTTTCACTCATTTTCAGCCAGGTGCTCTAATAATGCCCTATTCCCAACTTTGAATGTATGCCTTCCCAATGATAGGTGTGGTGACGGCATGGTCTTCAATAAAACTGATGGGTTCAGCAGCTTCAGCAACGAGACAAGAAGTCCATATTTCCAAACCTTTGTCCTGGAGGATGACTCGCCGCTGAAATATGAGTGCAACTTCACGCTCTCCAAAAGACCAAGTGGTGATGAATGCCAGGTAAATTGTTATGGCAATACCAAATTACAGTATTAATTTCTGGCTTATTACATTTATCAACGTTCCAATTGAATTTGTATCCCATATGCGTGTTATAATTGTTTATGCTTTTTGTACATCTGGCTTTAATAACAATGTGCTCTTTGTTTATCTTATCGTGCATCCAGGTATCGATTTTTAACTTTTGATCTTTACCTGTTGTTTTTAATGTAAATATGTTGCTAAACACAACACATCATTATCAAATATTTAAACATCTCATTTTTGGGTAGTACTGACCCTAGCTCGATAACGGTTGTACGAATTTACATTGAGCCGTCCCCTAAATACCAAATACCAGAAGTTATTATCCATATGGTTTGTGTTTTCCTGTTTGCTCACCACCTTCAAGAATGCCGACCAAACAGTTAATACTAGTTAAGGTCGGTAACTTGAATCAACTCGCAGATCGAACTCAGGTCAAACTGAATGTTCCCACTATCTATCAAATTCACCGACTGGAATTCTGAGGCAGAGATGTTCCATGTTTGTAGTAAGTGCCGATGTTTGTATTAAGAGCCGACCAAAATTAATTACAAAATAATAATCATCATCGTAGCCGATTTTCAATAACACTGGCATATCTCGGCCATGACAAATGCAACGTTCTTCTTCTGAAACGTGGCAACCCAGAAGAGGGAGCATCGGTTAACTGATTTGAGGCCAGAATCATAGAAGGTCAAGCCAATATGTACCTAGGGATGCACGTTAGAGAGAAAGTCCTGAACACCCATATAAAGGACACACTTCGCCCAAATTATGAATGTAGACTTTAGAAAATCTGAAGTTTAGAGTTGAACTTTTGCACACATTCATTCGTTTGATTATGCTCTTGTGAAACATGTCATAAGTCCAATGATAACAAGGCATTTCTCACTTTTATAAAAAGAGTGTGGACATAATCTTACTGTCACGTTTGATGTTTTTGGTGGTTCTGTAAGCTGAACGCTACAGGGGAAAAGGTCAACGAGGCGAAGTGCCACTGTGACATCAAATCGGCACTAGTTCGGTTTTTCAGGGAAGACTGAACGACCACTGCATCGAGTTTATGTGTAGCGTGTTGAGAAGGACGGCAACACCGAATCGTCCTTCGTTTGGATGACGTCATCAGAAGGCTTTCCTTTTACTTGTCAAGACCAGTCATTTCCCACTCGAACCCGGCAATGTGTGATTTTGCATGAAAATATTAATATGAAATTTATGCAATGAATTTTAATGAGACTGTCCAAGACCTTGTAAATAGTTACCAAACTCAGTATCCTAAGTGACATGCTTGTGTACCTTGATCGGTTGACCACCATTGGGAAGGTAGCCGGGCCCCTTCTGACACTTTGGGTAATGCAGAATGCCAAAGTGTTGGGGAGTCTTCACATTCTCCGAAATATTCTTGGTGGATTCGACTACTTTAGTCAGCTACCTGTGAAGATCCGGGTTAGGATTGATCTTCAGTAACCCATGTTTGTCATAAGAGCCGACTAACGGAATGGGGTGGTCAGGCTCGCTGACTGGTCGTACCCCAATTGCTTTGATCGATACTCACGATGTTGATCACTGGCTTTTCTTGTACAGACTCAATTATTTACAAACCACCGCCATATAGCTGGAATATTGCAGAGTGCGGCGTAGAACTAAACTCACTCACTCACTACTGTAGGCAGCACTTCCTGGGAGAAGTCCATTTCGCTGTCTATGTCGGTGTGGAGGGGCAACGGCCCTGAGGTCATAACAGCCTCACTCCAACCCTCTTTACTCCTTTTCAAAATCTGTACAAAAACTGCGCTTGAAAAGCGAATGAGTCCGTACGCAATGTTCTGAGCGATGTATTGTTAGTAATAAGATCAGGTGGTTACAATTTCTGAACTGATTGGTTGTATGTCCTTCTATTTAACAAGTGAAGCGATGTTTTCCTGAACCACTCACCAACTCCTTCAAATCAAAGTTTAACACTGTTGAGCGAGCCATGTGTGGTCCTGTCATACATGATTTCAGCGAATTCAGTAAAGGCAACTCAGTTTATTATCTTTTCAGATTCCACAATGTTCATGCTGGGGTGCCCAAACCAAGTAAAGTATAGTATTACTGTTATTTTAAATTTGAATTACCTTAAGAATACATGCTCCTCAAAACTTAAAAGAACAACTATTCTTCCGTATTAATGTAGTGTCATACCACTCACACTTTGCTAAGGATCACAAACATTCACAACTTTACTTAAACGTAGATTTATTATTTGAAATTGTTTCCATTTTAAACTGGATAAATAATGATATGGTCATCTCTCTTTAGTCACTTTAATCTAACCTTATGCACTTGATACATGAGTAACCATAAAAATGGTTTTCATGGCAACAATCAACCATTTTGCAAAACATGGAACGAGTCATTGACAAATAACAACACATGTCAATAGCAGGTATAGGATCCACAAGATGCAATGACATAGTGAAACCTGGATCCATATGCATGATTACAATAAACCAAAATTGACCCTACATAATAGTTTTCTGTTGAATCCATGATTTGATCCTCAGAAAAGTTTGAGTAGTATATATGGCCCTATAGACTATAGTAATTTGAAACAATATGTTGATCCTTAATTTATTTTGACTACTATACGTCAAGATTTTTATATTGCTGTACGCCCATATCCTGTGCAAGAATATCTCGTGTTACACTGATCGGAAATTGCAGCATGCGTGTCGTTGAAAACGATAGATAACGACATACTAGAGACAGTACTTCCTGCACAAAACAAACATCCCTTCTATTTCGCGATGGCAAAGCCGTCTAAGAAGAAAATGTTTGCCTACGAGTTTTCAAAAGGAATCTCTGTACGATCGCAACCGTGTTGAGGAGAATCACATCTAGCTATTGTCCTACTTTATTACCTCGTGTAAGATCCATTATACACAGTTACGTAACAGAAGATCTCATGAGTGGCGTGGTCAATAAAACTTTAAGATTTTCAGGATTAGAATTTATTGACCACTTTCGGTCACGTGTGAAACACGCATGATACATCTGACAAGAACGCTGAAAACTGAAGATGGCTGAAGGTATCAGGGAGGTTTTTCTTAGACACCTGACATTTGATGCCGAGGTAATTGTTTCTTCCCCAGCTGCTGTTACACATGTGAGGATGTCCGAAATGCCTACGCTGAGCTGAACTGGACGATGAATGAACGGTCGATTGGGCAGTGCACTGGCTCCCCGTGTACGGTGGTATGTGCGCATGCGTCAAGTATTGACTGTCACGTGATTGGTGTATGTAAGCCTGCTGGTGTCAGGTTTTTGCACGTGTGTGAAATAGACTTGTCAGAATGGATGTTTGTCTAGTATGCAGACAGTGGGGAGGTAGGTGTGCCCCGAAGTTCGTCACGCCGTGTCCGGTTTCGACTCCCCACATGGGCACAATATGTGAAGCCCGACCCCAGCCATGACATTGCTGGAATATTCATTCTCTCTGGTATACAGGGGTAGCCTAGTGGTTAAAGAGTCGCTCGTCACGCCAAAAACCCTGGTTCGATTCCCAAAACGGGTACAATGTGTGAAGCTCATTTACCGTGATATTACTGGAATATTGATAAAAAACGGCTTAAAACCATAATCACTCACTCACTGATATATAGACACACCATATGAATAGGTTGACTTGTGTGGAATATATAGACTTGACATGTCTTTGGTTTACGTCGTTTCAAATATATGTACCTGTCATTGGCAGATGGATCTCTTTCAAATATTTAGACCTGACACAAGGTTGGAAGTAGGTACTCCCAAATGCGTACATCGATGCTCATGTTGTTGATCACTGGATTGTCTGATCCAGGCTCTATCATGTATGTACATACCGCCGCCATATAGCTAGAATATTGCTGAGTGTGGCGTAAAATTAAACTCACTCACTCACTGGTTGTAGGTACACTTATTTTCTTTAGTGATTATGACTATTTTCTCTTGAATGTGTAGTCACAATTTTCCTGAAAACGGCTAACGTGCCATGCGTATGTTGGATTTGAAAAACACAATGATTTTTACATGTTTCAGAATTCATGTCACAATGAAAGAGCCCGTAGACGTACCGCCAGTAGGTATTCATGTTTCAGTTAACACAGCTAGTTATACATCGTTTGATTTAAAGGGTAATGCTTGTCATGTACTCTTCCTATCTGTAACCGAACGATGTTGCTGGAATAATTCATCCGCCCTCTGAGAGATAAGGAGAGCCAAACACGATTTTTATGCCTTTTCTCTAAGTCGACCTCACTCACTGGCTTATCTTTTCAATGGGGTTGTCCCCAGAGTTACGTCCCTTTGGCGCGCAAGAAATCTATGAGAGTCGTTCTGATCAAGGTTCACCCTTATCGTGTGTTCGCCCTTGTCGTGTGTTCGCCTTTATCGTGTGTTCGCCTTTATCGTGTGTTCGCCCTTATCGCGTGTTCGCCCTTATCGCGTGTTCGCCCTTATCGCGCGTTCACCTTAGTATGTGTTCACCCTTATGTGTTCAACCTTTTTGTGTATTCACCTTTATCGTGTGTTCATCCTTATGTGTTCGCCCTTATCGTTTGTTCACCCTTATGTGATTGTCAGCACTGTACCTGCGGACAAAGGGTTTCACAAAAGTGCTAAACGACTAAAACCTACGTAAACAAATCTAATTGATGACTTTTATCGCTGTGAAAATGGATATTTGTTGAAAAACGCATTCATTGTTTTTAGAACACTACTTAGAGTGGCAACCTTAATCACAGTTGGCTTTCATCCAACATCATTGTCCGTTTGGCTCAAAAACGGACCGATGAATTGCAATCTAACTTGAAAACTAATAAACATATAATAATAAATGGAACGCTGATCATAATCAAAACATCGGACCAACTCTGAATTTTTGCAGAATCTGTCCTAAAAATAAGATGTTTAACAAACTATAATTAAAGTTTTGACACAGTTCACTATTTGTTACGAAGGAGGAGTGCAATGAGAGGAACAGCCATGTGTACGAGAAGCACGTGTACAAGTGCCGACAAATGTATTGATTCATTTACCTGCCGTCTCCTTTCTCGCACAATTCATCGGTCCGCTTTTGAGCCAAACGGACTACAAGTGATCTGACTGAAAGCGACGTTAACCTCAACTCAGGCCTTAACTGTTGATTGTTGTACACTTGCAGGCGATGACAGTATAAAACCAACGCTGTTATTTACGGTACGGACCAAGGACTGGTGATCGCGAGCTGTCTGGTATGAATGTAGTTCAGCTATAAAGATTATTATAACTTGACGTTATCTTATTTATGGGAAAGGGCGGTGGGGTAGTCTGGTGGTTAAAGCGTTCACTCGTCACGCTAAAGACCCGGGTTCGATGCCCCACATGGGTACAATGTGTGAAGCCCATTTCAGGTGTCCCCCGCCGTGATATCGCCGGAATATTGCTTAAATCGGCATAACACCATACTCACTATTTATGAGAACCTACTCTGAATTTGATATAACATTGTGAACAACTAGTCTAAATATGTTCAGGAACACTTATTTCGATCATCCTACTATAAATTGTTTGAGTGGCATTCTAGAAGTTGGTGGTACAGAGATGACACAACTTTATGGATGATCAACATCTTTATTTTGACAATGGCGACGTTTCGGTATAGATTCTTATATCGTTTTCAAGCATATCTATAGTGGCACATTACCATAGGACTATGATACCAAGGACCGCCTCCGTGGTGTAGTTGTTTGAGCGTCCGCCCGGAGAGCGGAAGGTCGCGGGTTCGATCCCCGACCACGTCATACCAAAAGACGTTAAAATATGGTACTTGTTGGTCCCTGCCTGGCGCTCGGCATTACTGGGTACAACTAGGACTGGTCGGCTCGGAGTCAGTATAATGTGTCTGAGTGGGGTATTCATGCTTCACTGCGGCATGGTATCTCATTGGGCTAGCACTATAAAACCAGCTTACGTCTGGGCTAGTACAAGACCGCCTTCGTGGTGTAGTGGTTAGAGCGTCCGCCCGGAGAGCGGAAGGTCGCGGGTTCGATCCCCGACCGCGTCATACCAAAAGACGTTAAAATATGGTACTTGTTGGTCCCTGCCTGGCGCTCGGCATTGATGGGTACAACAAGGACTGGTCGGCTCGGAGTCAGTATAATGTGTCTGAGTGGTATTCATGCTTCACTGCGGCATGGTATCTCATTGGGCTAGCACTATAAAACCAGCTTAAGTCTGGGCTAGTACAAGCAGCCGCCCACACACATGTACACGCATGCACGTCATCATATGAGCGAAATATTCTCAAGCACGACGTTAAACCCAATTTCACCTCACCTCACCTATGATGCCAAGGTGATCGGGTCAAAAAGATTAACCATACTATTGTATTTTCAACAAATCTGCTGATCCTTAACTTATTGCGACTTGTACATGAGAGAATCACTTGTGTAACTGAATTGATTCAATACTTTCGGTTCAATAGCCCCGTGTATGCATGCGTCCTCCTCTATGGCTTAATGTTGGCTTCATTGACTTGTTTTGGGCGTGGCGTCATTCTATAAATATTACGCCATTCATCAATGTTCCCGTCCCGGAATTACTTCCTTATGCAGGTGAAGCTTTGAATCGCTCGAGAAGTATGAAATTTCACTCGTGCACTTATAGTCGCACAGGCACTTTACGTTAATGAACAGTTTGTCTTCAGACACCCACGCTTGTTTGGCAGTCGACTTGAAGCATTATGTGGTCAGGCTTGCTGGCTTGGTTCATGTTTTTCCATTGCGTAGATCGATGCTCATGCTTTGAGTTGTCTGGTCCTGACTCGATTATCTAAATTAACACTGGCACAACATTGCAATATAAGGCATGGCTTTACTTTGGACATGATATGTCAAAATATTACGAAATATTCTCGATAATATACTCAGTCTGGTGATCTCACAATTTAAAAGTATTAACATCAACTTTATACTGAACATTTATAATCTTGTCCCCTGACCATTAACATTCCCCGGAAAGCACTATTATATATGGAATTTGAAAGGGCCATGAAACTATTCGGTGGTGTAGCTTGGGCGTTTGTCTGGAAAGCCGAATGTGAACTCTAATGGTGTCAAACCAAAGACGATGAAAGACAATAATTGTTATCCTACCCTACAGACCAGTATTCTGATAAACGATGTTTACTCCATTCCACAATGTGTAGATAAGAAATGGTGAGGTATCCACCAATATCAAATTGGGCCTTCTGCTGAACAAACAATGCAAATTATCGTATTTTGGGACATAATGCCAAGGTCACATATACCTAATTTTTCAAAGGTCTCCGACCGATGCGACGGCATCGGTGGGTTTCACCGATGTTGCGTGTAAAATCGTCAAAACCCACCCCTACTTTTAATGAAATTGGTGCTGCTCTTGCTGAGGAGGCAAGATGATTACATTGGTCGAAGCATGCCTCAAAAAAGTCATGTAAGTCTCAATTAGGTTGTTTACTCAATATTTGTGACATTCGCTCCAAAATACAAATTTCTAATTTGACCCCGACATCTTCGACGACTGAGTACGCCACCAACTCATCACACCATCTATCAGACCCCATTAGGTCTGGTCGTGTACTCTACAACATATATGATCATATTATATATATATTGCCAATACCCCGGGGATCAAAGTTGTGACCTTGTCTTTTTCTTACTAATCCCTTACGCTTATGGCATAGTACATATCACGATGGACTTTGGCTAACAGAGACAAGTTAGTGACCAATCATAAAATTCTGACAAGTTTAAACTGAAATGTAGAACTTCTTCCCTTACTGCACTGTCGATAAGAATTCGTAATCAATATTTGATGTTTCGACACACTTTACTAACACACGAGGTACAAACTACTCGAAACCTAAAATGTAAAATCAAGTCACTCTATGTCTATGACCGCCTCGGTGGTGTAGTGGTTTGAGCGTCCGCCCGGAGAGCGGAAGGTCGCGGGTTCGATCCCCGACCGCGTCATACCAAAAGACGTTAAAATATGGTACTTGTTGGTCCCTGCCTGGCGCTCGGCATTAATGGGTACAACAAGGACTGGTCGGCTCGGAGTCAGTATAATGTGTCTGAGTGGGGTATTCATGCTTCACTGCGGCATGGTTTCTCAGTGGGCTAGCACTATAAAACCATCTTCAGTCTGGGCTAGTACAAGCAGCCGCACATACACATACACACTCATGCACGTCGTCATATGAACGAAATATTCTCAAGCACGACGTTAAACCCAATTTCACCTCACCTCACCTTTACCTAACAGAGACAGGTTAGTGACCAATCATAAAATTCTGACAAGTTTAAACTGAAATGTAGAACTTCTTCCCTTACTGCACTGTCGATAAGAATTCGTAATCAATATTTGATGTCTCGACACACTTTATTAACACACGAGGCACAAACTACTCGAAACCTAAAATGTAAAATCAAGTCACTCTTTGCCGAACTAGTCTTTAATGCCTTCTAATGTGTTTTAAGTTTGACGTACATTATGGTTCTGAAGTATTTTGGCAAAGTCCTCTATTATTCTACTATAATGCAGGTTCTCCAGAACTTCAATACAGCATTTCCACTAAAAGGATGAACATTTACATGGAGTGTTTAATCGATGAGGTTAAAATCGAAACTTATGCTCGAAAAGATTACATTATTTGATAAGGCGGGTCGTGAAAAATATTGATTTCTCTTACACGTATCAAGTGGGTCAGAAATAATCGAAACTCTCAAGGATGTTTGATTGTTTACGTCTAACGTCTGACAAGTTGCAGTCTCTAAGTTTGAAGCACTCGGAGGTTTTCTAGAGCTGCAGCGGGATGTCACCTTACATGGCTGGACTGTTCATACTCTTCTCTCGCCTCTCTGAAGGTAAGACGGGGGTTTATGTAAGCATATGAGTGAAATGAAAATATTTCTCAACGCCTTTCTTTACATTGAGCAATGAAGCGAAACTTTCTACAATTGCATACAGTAGGCGTAATTGATAACTAAAGTTTTTAGCTTCAACAAAACAAGTAAAGGCATTTTCTAGTCACTTTCCGTACTTTCACAAACCCAACGTGTGAGAGTGGTATGTACCGGGCAGGACATCTTTACGCTTTCCACGAACGCTTGGTGTTGTCGCATTAATATTTTTTCGATAGCTGATTTGGATTTTACGCTTGATCGAGACTGTTTGTTCACTGGCATTCATATTTTTATAAAAAATCTTTCACAGCGTGAAAAGTCAGATTTCGATTTTTCATTTCGATTTCGAATCTTGCAGATGCCGTTGTTCCCACTTTCTGCTCGAAACCCATGGATAAAGAATTTAAATATTGCAAGAAAACTGAAAACTTTTAAGTTTACTGGATTTGAGGAAGGATCCCATGATATAACACCCTGATAAATATTTGCTTTGCCAGTGTCTCTTTAAGGCTTTTCGTGTCTTTAGGCCTATAAACTGCTGTGGATAGTTGATAAGAGACTGCCAGGTTAAGTTTATTTTGGTTAACAATCTATAAATCGAGAACAATGATTAGGGGAATATTTTGCTTAATTATCAAGCTTTATACACAAGCCAGGGGAAGGTTGTGATTTCAACACTGCAAAACAATTGACCAGAGATGTTGTCAGAATTCTGCGTACACATTAGGCCTAAAATAGACTCGCGAATTATCCTAAACATATATTTAGTCTTCTACGACAAAACATGTTGACCAATTTGACTATCTCTTAAAAGAACACACAACGCTTGTGTGTGTGTTAATTATTCAGCGTCGGTCAGGAAACAAATCACCGTTATTTTATGACGGAGCACGTAAGTCCTGCGTTGACAATCCTGTACTGACGGTGATGGGGCTCTAAGCTGTCTGCAAATAATCGCGTCTGGACCAGGCAATCCAGTGATCAACATCATGAGCAACGATGTAAATTCTGAAACGGTGACAACCACGTCGGCGAGCCTGACCACCCGCCTCTCACGACAAGCACGGGTTTCTGACAGTGTGCGAAATAGTTCCTAAATTTTGATAGCCACAAAATAATTCACTACAGTAGCCCGACATTTGAATGTAGAAACTAAGCAAAAGATTACAAAATAGATGAGAATAGATATTGTTGGCGTGACACGGGTTTCATCGTTAAGCTGCAAAATGATGAACATTTCTATCAGGCCATTATCTTGCACGATTTGAAAGTGCATTATACAACAAGTCGGAGAGAGTGATACATTTACGAAATGACCCCATGAAAATTCACAAGCCAGACGGGCCAGTGACTGTGGAGTTATGCTGGCCCGACTGGATTTTTACTAGCCACGGGCTATCGGGCCAGTGGCTATTTTGCACACTGGTTGCTGAAGATCAATATCAAACCCGTTTTTTACAGGTTTAATCACTTCGTGATAAACTTGAGCCAGAGAGAACAGTTTCACTTCCTTAGTGATGTAAATATTCCCAAAAGTGACATAATTGACATGTACTTAACCATTTATGATTTCACCACCAAATCGACAACAAAACGTATGCCCAGCTTTGTTAAGCTGACTACAGACATCCTCACTGTTAAACAATAACCCCGTACCAATGGAAGCTGTATTTTTAGTTACATAGTCATATGAATACATTAAACACCGTCACCTGATAACAGTAAAACCTCATATGTCTCCAAATATAATGAGGTGAGGTGAGGTGAAATTGGGTTAAACGTCGTGCTTGAGAATATTTCGCTCATATGACGACGTGCATGCGTGTGTGTAAGTGTATGTGCGGCTGCTTGTACTAGCCCAGACTGAAGCTGGTTTTATAGTGCTAGCCCACTGAGATACCATGCCGCAGTGAAGCAGAAATACCCCACTCAGACACATCGAACCCGCGACCTTCCGCTCTCCGGGCGGACGCTCTAACCACTACACCACGGAGGCGGTCCCAAATATAATGAGACAAGCTATCCTACTACACCACCATAGGTAGTAAACAGATGCACGCGCACGCACACGCGCACGCACACGCACATGCACAGACGACGACGACGACGACAGGGTCATAAGGATAGACGATCGTCAGTTATTGGAGGCTCTAATGTGACATAATCACGCGATGATCGAGTCTCCGATATTTTACCACAAACACCTACGCAAATCAGCAGGTTGAACTCGGAGGGAGAAGGATCGCCATTGCATGGACCGTTTGGTAAGACATGGCTGGATCCTGAGAACATGAATAAAGATCCGAGAAGAGATCCTTCTTCGTGACACAGGCGGGCGTATTCGGGTCTGATGGCAAGGATTCACGACATGCACGTCTAACACTCGTCCGACAGTCCCCTCGGGGGGTGATGGCGTTGGTGATGGTGTGGGGTTACCTGTCCCTTGTCAGGGAGCAGTGGAATCTGCTGGGCTGAAGGGAACACGCGTCAAATTTGAATCCAGTCGTTGCATTGTATAGCCACCGCTGGCTGTCACCAGACAACTCCACATAGTCGATACTGCGAGATCACAACAATTGTTTTTGTTTTGTAATCTGTCTATACAGATTATTATGTCCGCCACATTTATGATTTCATTCGCAAAGAGAACAAATTCTAACATATTCTAAATTACAGAATTTATATATGCCTTTGGACAGCAGAAAACGTTCATGACGTGCATATACCCGCTTTGCAATAAGACGAAATTAGTAGGGTTAACCCTTAACACACGTCACACACTGACACTGATTTACCGTTCAGACATAAAACCATCAATGGCATCCTCAGAAATATCATTGTTAGACAGTTTATCATGAAGCATCAAATGCCTTTGGAGCAATAAAGCACTGCCTCTTGGAAAATCTCCATTAACAGAATATTATTTCTCAGCCCGCATAACTATCGTTGGGTACATTTCGTGAAACACATTTCTGGTTTCCCCCGCCCTGATATTGCAGGAATATTACTAAAAGCGGCGTAAAACCAAACTCACTCACTCATAACTATCGTTTTAATTAGCATTAAGTACTGTGCCTTGTGGATATATTTTCCACGAACGCCTAACAGGCGCATATCTAGGTAGGTGTTTGTTTTCATTGCGTTATCATTTTTATGCAAACGATTATGATATAATGCATTTCGTTTTTAGCACTCTGTGCATTTCCGTGAACTATACGAATACTTCATCGGCATACCTCGGAAACGTAACCTATTGCTTAAACAGTGTAGTTTCAATATGTTTCTTATGAATTTCATTTCAAATGAATTGTTACACATTCATTATCGCACAAATCGGGCTGCTTAATGGCGAGTGAGCTCCGTGTGACGTCACATCGGCAATAGTTCAGTGATATCGAGACGAGGCTGCTTAATGGCGAGTGAGCTCCGTGTGGACGTCACATCGGCAATAGTTCAGTCATATCGAGACGAGGCTGCTTAATAAAACACAATGTTATAAATGTGAAGCTATCACGAGCTTTTAGCTGAGTTGTTTGTTTCTTTAAACCACGTCTTCATCTTCCGGGGCGCTGTGAGGTAGTCTAGTGGTTAAAGCGTTCGCTCGTCACGCCGAAGACCCTGGTTCGATTCCTCACATGGGTACAATGTTTGAAGCCCATTTCTGGTGCCCCCCGCAGTGATATTGCTGGAATATTGCTAAAAGCGGCGTAAAACTAAACTCACTCACTCACTCATCTCTCAGGATTCGGAAACGAGTTAATCGTTCACCTTAGTCACTCTGCAAATAGAAAGCAAAGAACAGAGTTAGTTTTGTTTAAATACTTAATTTAATCATCGAAAGCAATTACGTATCTTCAGATATGCCATAATATTTTCTTCGGCTGTGTTTGATCGTAACCAATGCAATTTGAATTTTAAGAGATGATCTCAAGATAAGATCATGCTTTATATCCTAAAAAGCAATGTTAGAACGCCATGACGCTTAGCAACGATTTCATCCAGTATCTCAAACATTGCCACAGCATTAAAGAAAAGCTGATTAGCTGCCCGAGATTACCAAATGCAAATTTATCGTATGATGGATCGTTAACTGAAACCTGGAGGTGGACATTTTGTACACTAACGTAACCAATGTATTTACATGTTCTTCCAGGATGATATTAAATTGCGACACTTTTCAATGCACCAAGCATTGATCGCCAACATATGTTTGATTAAAATTCAATATGCATCTGTGTTTTTTCATTACCTCTCAGCAGAAATCGATAAATTTTAACGGTTGCTAATAAATTTCCAACGGAGAAAAGATGCCGATGTTTACTAACATCCCGCCATACAAAAAGACCAACTGATTCAGTTAACACGCCTCGACCCGACTGATCAATCAGGCGCACTGAAATAATTGATAGTATTACTTTTTTTATTCAATGTTTACCAGACATTAATGACGGCAAATGCATGACACTGAGGTTCAATAGAATTACTTCGTTGAAACGTAAGATAGAACGATCCTGCTAAATACTTTCATCCAGGATGTTGAGTGAATGAATGAATGATCGAAAACCACTTTAACAGTACACAGTGATAAGTCTGTCCCGATAGACCAGTGACGATCCGAGTTAGAATATTGATCTTCAGTAACCCATACTTGTCCTAAGAGGCGACTAACGGGATTGGGTGGTCAGGCTCGCTGACTGAGTTGACACATGTCATCGTATCCCGACTGCGTAGATCGATGTTCATGCTGTTGATCACTGGACTGTCTGGTCCAGACTCGATTATTTACAGACTGCCGCTATATAGCTGGAATGCGGCGTAAAACTAAACTCACTCACTCACTCACTCACTCACTGTCCCGATAGGGTAAATCCCACATACAAGTAATGATACTGCACAGATCATATAATACCTTCATCGGCATACTTATTTATTTGCTGGTCTATAACGATGTCTTAGCGAATCACAAGTGAGTGAGTTAAAATTTAACGTCACATCGGCAATATTTCAGCCATATCGTGACGATGGCCAATCAGGAGCATGATGTGTTCAAGTATAAAAATATGCGAATGTGTTTGTTTGTTATTTAACAAAGCAATCAGCAATATTCAAGCCCGAAAACGACAGTTTATAAATAGTTGAATCTGAACAATCCAGTGATTAACACAATGAGCATCGAGCTATACAATTTGGAGACGATGGCGACGATGATATTACATGAATGAAATCTGAACGATACACTTCTGGTTCGTCACATATGTGTTTTCGACATGTACATGTGCTATTTGCAAATTATGGACGTAAAAGAGTGTTACTTTTTTAGATACATGTAAACATAGCCAATATGCTAGTGATGAGAACAGGTTGAAATCTCACAACTAATGATTGGTTCGTTACCAACGAGCAGTCATCGAAAACAATATTGTTAGCGTCATTTTACTGATTTTCCTGTTCAGGCTTTTAGTGCAGATAACGATAGAGAAAAAAACATGTGGTTTTCTGTTTTCTGTTTCATTTAAAAACCGCGCAACTTTCAATTCCAATGTAAAATGATGCAACTTGCTCCTTTAAAGTGATGACTAATGTATCATGAACATAAACTTCCCAGAGTCTTCCAGAAATACTGAGTCATGACTTTTCAGTAAGTGAAGTGAGTTTTGTAAGAATTCAACACGTTTTCAGACCCTGACAACTTCGAAGATATATGTTCCATCGTCAAGTGTTTCAAACACTAAAACAGTAGTTCCAAACTTTTTGTCTTCAATTATGAGAAAATGTGATCGATTGCTTGGTCATTTGGTCACTGCGACCGATCCTCGATTATTTCAATTAATCAGAACACCACTACACGATACGAAATCTTGCTTTAAACACATCCAATGTTTACAAGGAAAGGTGCCGAAAGTAATTTACGGACATCAAAGAAAAGCATATTACCCACAACGGAGTGTTGATGTGAACAGAAACCATATGCAACGGTAAACTTCGGCACTTCAGAAAATTGGCAGTGGGTTGTACTGGGAACTGAAGAAACTGCAACATATGCAGAGGAATATCGCAATTTGATTTGGGCGATACCCGTGAAGATCCCGGTTAGGAATTTGTCTTAAGCAACCCATGAGGCGGCTAACAGGATCGGGTGGTCTTGCTCGCTAACTTGATTTATGCCTGTCATCGAATCAAACTTTCACTGGATTGTCTGTTCTCGACTAGAATATTTTCAGCGTGAATATTGCTCTGCGTTCGGCGTTAAACAATAAACAAACAAGCAATTAAACTGACGCCAAAAATGTTAACTATAAGCATACGATGCATACATCTGGTAGGACGTGTCCTACCAATTCCACATTTTTACATTTCTAAATATAATGTAAAAAACGAAAGGCTGTGAGATTTTCACTTATCCACTCACCCGGAGGTTGGCACGAACACACAACATTCGACTCGACAAGCAAATAATGCGACGAGCTCAGTCTACAGGTTTGTTTAAGCCGAACATTCAGTGCGTGTTTAAATTTGCAACGTTGAGGAATCAATTCACTTCTTCGCTGTGTGCATGTTTTTTTCTCTTCACACCAAACGGAACTTGTTTCTGATGATTATCAAAAATGGATGTATTTTGCACTTACGTTATGTATATATTATATATATCCAAAGCCAGTAATTCATCAGGACTTTTCTGAAGGTAACGAAACATGTGAAACACATTACAAATGTTAACAAGAAGACAAAGTTATCAATATCCCCCGCAGTGGTAAAATACTCTTCATGAATACGTCGGCCAGTTATGACTGTGTCAAGTGTTACATTGTTCTTCACATTGATCTAACCAGAATATACATATGTAAACTTTTCATAAACTAGCATGCTTGTATCAACAATAAACTGTCTGAGTCTCCGGTAAGGAGCACTACCACCAATGTCAATCAAAGTAAAACTTGTTGCCATGAAAATGCAAAAAATATTTAACTCAGAAACCCCAAACTATCAAACGACATCAGTTCACAGCCAGATCTATCTATGTGCCAAATTTGGTGAAGAAACATTAAACGGTTTTAAAGTTCTTCACCGGAAAACAGGACTAATTTCAGTCGAAGTCAAACTTGTCGCCATGGAAACGCAAAAAAATATTTTATTCAGAAATCCCAAACAACCGAAGGGCATTAGTTCACTACCAGACCTATCTATGCGCAAAGAGTGTTGAAGACATATTAAACGGCTTTTATGATCTGCTCCGTAAAAACGCGTTGCTTGGGATAATAAGAGCATACACTTTCTGACTATCCAGTGTCGACCATGATTTTCATGTTTTAAAGAGTTTACTGCAAGAATTCAACTCTATGAATTTGAGAAACAAACACTGTCTTTTATGCAAATGTTGCAAGGGCAAATGTTATTGGAAGGGCAGGACATGCTTACCCTTTCCGAAAACACCTGGTGTCATCACTGCTGTTCCATTTAATTTGAAATATATTGTACGTCCATTGGATTCGGGGAATATCCAGGACTGGGGCATTCCCCTGGGCTAACGTTTCATATACTTCCCATCAAAAGTTTAAACTCACTTAAAACACCCACTATATGTTATGTATATACATATGGTTACATCGAAGATTGATTTCTCCACTAACATAGGGGAACCAACTGCAAACTGTATGCAGATGAACTGCACGAGGATCATGCATCAAATTGATGAAAAGCATTTGCATATATCGTGCATGTAAACCGCTGCGTTTCGATGTAAAGTTTTAAGTATTCGCCAATTTTCACTGATTTTTATAATTTACTGAACTCATGACAATAATCTTTTCAACGTTACGAATTTGCTTAACAATACATCAGTTCATGTGTAAACAGTACCCTTAAACCGTATGAAATATTTTGCAAAGTTTAGAACAGTTGCCTGAAGTAAGTGGCTACATTTACACTAGTGAGTCTAAACCTTTTATGGGAAGTATTTTTATAATGCAAAACAATGGAAATCTTGCCCCAAATCTATTATTGCGATTTGTCATGTAACCACAAAGGTCTCAAATAACACAATTTAGTGTAATCGTAGTTTGACATTCTATTATCATTCAGCCTATTAATTACAGACAATTAACAAGAAATATATTGATTAAACTTCCGAATTTATACACTTAATGCATTTACAATTTACTATCAATATGCGGTATGAACAAATTATCATATTTAGTATATTTAATGCATAAACATCAATACAAATTTTGATCAAATGGTTCAGTTCATATCATTGGTTTTTCAAACCATTGTTTTTACATTGAAACCATAAAATACCTTTCAGTGAATGTTAATTATTACCGATTTGCATGATATATATGACGTGAAAACGTCATTCGTAAAATATATTATGAATCTGTGATCTGACGAGGGTATGATGTTTTGAATGTGCATTCCTTACAGGTTTCGAGTTGAATGGCCTCACGGCGTCAGCGTCAACGGAATATTCGGCGACGTTTCTGGCTGAGAATGCTGTGGATGGAAATGTCACCACAGGATGGATGTCTTCAAAAACAGCGTCTTATTCTTACATTCTGGTCGATCTCCATGGTTACTATGTGGTCAACACCATCACCATCTTTGCTGGACCAACGTTTGACGAATGTTTGTACTCCCTTTACTGTTACCTTATGTACCTGTGTTTTGTTTGTTTGTTTGTTTGTTTGTTTGTTTAACTTCGCACTCTGCAATTGTCCAAGTATATATATGGAAGGTCGATAAATAATCGAGTGTGGACTAGTGTTGGGAATTGGTTGAAATCTCACTATTGATGATTGCTTCATTACCAACGAACAATCATCGACAAAAATTGGTTAGCGTCATTTTTCAGATTTTCCTATCCAGGTTGTTATTGCAGATAATATGTATAACATGATGCAACTTGCTACTTAAAAGTGATGACTAATATATCATGAACATAAACTTCCCGGAGTCTTCAATAAATATTCAGTCATGGTTTTTCAGTTAGTGAAGTGAGTTTTCTAAGAATTAAACACGTTTTCAGGCCCTGACAACTTCAACGATATGTTCCATTGTCAAGTATTTCAAAGACTAAACCAGTAGTTCCAAAATCGTTTATGTTCGATTATGAGAAAATGTGATCGATTGCTTGGTCGTTTGATCACTGCGACCAATCTTCGATTATTTAAATTAATTGGAACACACTAGTGTGGACCAGGCAATCCAGTGAGCATTGATATTCGCAATCGGGATACGATGACAAGCACCAACCACGTCAGTGAGGCTGATCACCCGATCCCATTTGGGTTGCTGGTGACCAGTTGTAATCTGGATTTTTGCTGGTCTTGTCTTTCATACATTAGCCGCATTGTCATCATATTCGAGATAGTGAATAGGTTGCTAAAGTTCCCGTTGAGGAGATGAACACTTTACTTGACGTTGCATGTGTCACGGCTGTCAAGGTATATCCTCACCTCTTCGCGGACGCCCTGCATCATAGTGCTTGTGACATGGTCGGAATCCTACAACGAAATTTTGCGTGATTGTTGGAGGATTTTGAGGCCTTAGTATTATCTTTAAATAATTTAGCATTGTGTTTAATTTAGCATTTAAGAAACCTAAAACAAGTAAGTTTCAATACAATAAACGGGATCCTTTAATGGACTTATGGGAAGATTCGGTCCGGTCTTTGTGTCTTGTGTCTTCAAAACGCAGCCATTTGCTACATAGACCAGTTGGCTTAGAGTGCACCAGAATCAACTGTCTGTGTGTTCGAATCCCGCATTCAGCCGATTTAGTGACAAACCCTATTCTCGTGTTCAACAGAGCGTACATGTTAATGTCTGAGTGCGGCGTTAAACAAACAAACATTTTGTATGTTTCACTTTGACCTTCCTCTAAAAGTTTAAAAAAGCCCTGTTTATGTAGAAACATAACGATAACGACCCACGGTATGTGTTTTCATGTATATTCACAAGAATGCTGACGACCTGTTTCGGGTTTGCCTATTTTCTTCATTTACTATTTCAGGAACGCACCATGTCGTCATTGACATCCTACCTAAACCGACCCAGTCATTAACTGATTCGAATTCACTCATCTTAATATCAAGTACTTGCTATTTTTGTTGTTTGTTTGTTGTTTAACGCTGCACTCAGAAATATTCCAGCTATATGCCGGCGGTCTGTAAATAATCGAGTCTGGACCAGACAATGCAGTGATCAACATCATGAACATCGATCAATGCAAATGGGGTACGATGACATGTGTGAACCACGTCAGCGACTCTGACCACTTGATCCCATTAGTCGCCTCTTACGTCAAGCATGGGTTGCTGAAAACTAATTCCAACCCGGATCATCGTTTCGGGTACCTGATATCATGTACTTGTTTTTGCAGCGCGACGTTCAGACAATGCTGCGGTGAAACTGCTCTTCTCCTCTGATCCGAGCTCACCCTACACGTGCAGCTGTGGTACCTCTCCCAGCAGCGTGCCGATGGGAAGTTCCTTCGTTATAACATGCACTTCCGGGTGTTCAGCCCGACATCTGATTGTTTCAAAGTCAGCCAGTTTGTCGTTTGCTGAAATATCTGTAAACGCATCACACATAGGTAAGATGACCATTTGACCTCTGTTTAATTGTTACAATGATGATCCAGATGGTCAGAGGGAAAGACGTTTGTCCATAAATGTATCATCGTCTGGAAATGTATTCCGTTTCCAGTGTTTGAGTCTGAAATCTAGTTGTTATATGCGCCAAAGAGAGAGACAGAGAGACAGAGAGAGAGAGAGAGAGACGAGAGAGAGAGATGTCAAATCTGAATGGGAACATTGATTATGCCAATGAACAGCAGTGTATTTTTGGTATTTTTATATCTTTACCTACACCAAAACAATTTCTCATTTCAGCAACTAACTACGTCCAAACACAGGGGCAAGTAGTGTCGACTCCATATGTAACAACAACGACGTCAACTGCTTCGGAATGTTCCGTGGTATGCTTTAACACACCTGGATGCAGAGCATTCTCTTTCAAAGGCAGCATCGGCGACTGTCAAGTGACCAAAGTCACCGGAGTGAATGTTGCTTCTGATTGGGTCACATATACTCCATCTCCCGACGATGTCCTCTTGCATTCTCAGTGTTCGATGCCTTTCCATGATTGCTGTTGATCACTAATACACATGCTGTATATTCAAGACTTAACACTGACATTGTGACATTCTGACGTCGTTGAGCATCAACATGTATAGACTCTGGGAACGAACCAGGGATAATTCAGGCTTGTTTTATAAAATATTTTGTTATATCATTACAATCAAATCTATTGTGAGCACTTCATCTCGACTCAAGACCTAGTTGTTTCGTAAGTTAATATTGGTTTACGACACATTCAGCAACCGTTCAGGCACATAATGACTACTGTAAATAATTGACCTTGAGCTCCCCAAACACCTGCATGACTGAATGAGCATTCGGGGCCTGACATCACATGAGACTGATCCCCCATGAAAGCCTCTATGTCATGCATGGCTCATTCTACCTGGATTCACCTCATGGCTTAGGAACATGATCATACTGCGAATATATACACACATGGAAAAAGGTATAGCAACAACCCGCGTTTTTATGGTATCAATATGTTACCATTAACCATAGCAAAGGAACTTATCCGAATTTTATTTAACTTACTATCTAAATAAATTGACCCCACGGAATAAATAAATAGCAAATCTAAACTCACAATTTACAAAAAATTGTAGTTTATTCAGAGATGCAAATATGACCAATATTGACTCATTTTGTAGTTCTGATAACTATGATGGTACGACGTTAATACGTGGGTCATCTTCTAGATACTGGCATACTATCCTCAATAAATCACAAAAGTATCAATAACTGAGCAAACTGTCAATATCTGGTGTAACCTCCGCCATCTACAATTATATATCTTTCATAACATTCCATTTCCTACCCACTGAATGTTTCAGCGACCCATAATGTCCCAGACATGCTGTATGGGAGTGAGGTCTGGCTTCCTCGTGGACCAAGGTAGAGTTGCTACCGCTTCTTGACCTAAAACATCCACAAACGACATATGCACGATGTGACCTAGCATTGACATCCTACTGGCAAACAAGGATAATTTGGACCGGCGCAGAGAACGCGTTTACGAGAAGTAGGCGGTGCATGGCAATGAGCAAACCTATTTGGCTTGTGAAAGGTAGAGCAGATGTAGGCTAGTGCACGTGCAGTACATGACGATGAAATTGCTTCCGCGCGTAGCTGCACAAACCTTGCTCATGACACTCTCACGTGGTCGGTGTAGCAAGTCGCGGACAACCTGGGGCCCCTTCGCTCACAATGGCAAGCGCCAGTGGGCGGCACTCATACATGCTAATACGGGTCAATTGTCAGGTCCGTGCTCAACCTATCCTTGTTTGCCAGTAGTGTTCGGAGGATGTTCAGTTAAATGTGGTACAACACCCTCGTCTGTAGTCGTGCTGTTTTGTACTCTGGGGATAACAACGGACGTGTGATGGGTCGTCTTGTTCTATACCCGGCGGTGTTTAGGCGACTTTGGACTGTTCTGTTGGCGATGACGTGGAAGCCACTTGTTTTTAACACGCCACTTTATATGAAGGGGTGAAGTCTTGTGATTCTGAGAAGGGCTGTATCCTCCCGATGAGTTGTCACTATGCGGTCGACCTGAACGCTGACGGCCCTTAGCGTCATTACTTCCCTGTTCTTTTCTGGCCAGTCGGCTGATAGTCGATGAATGACAATAGCATTTGGCATACCAATAATTTGCCATATTTCAGTAGTTGTCAGTTAAGGAGGCCCCATATTTGCTTATCAACAACGAAAACTATTGATTTTCTGAGTTATCGAACTGTAAGCAGAGTTTTCTTACACTTAACATTTGCTTAACGATGGGTACATGTATTGTACTTGATGCTCGCCTTTGATCACATCACGAGTATATCTAAAATCAATGTACGGTGCACCCGAAGGGTCAAATTAATCATACAAACAAACATAATTAGGCTATGAATATAAGTGGCTATATGATAATTAAAAATCGTATGTGTTGCGATACTTTGCTCCATGTGTATAATCTGTTTCAACATGCACAATCGACAACCAACCATTGATTTTCTGGCTGAGGAGTGGTACGCTTTTGTGTAGATAAAAGTTTCTTCATTTATTGAATATCACTCTAATGAGAACATTTTTAATTATTTCTCTAATACTTTAGGCAGCTCGTGCGCTTAACTGTTTGTACATTGATATTGTACATTCCGGCATCTCACCAACACGTATCCAGTTTGCGAAGAGATGAACGTTATAACTAGTACAAGGGTTGGACCCGATTAAAAGTCTACCTTATCGAGTCCGGTGCCATTAGTTTCCTTGTGATATTAACAAAAATCGTACTACAGTAACCATTTCTGAAAGCTGTACATTGGCGGATTGGTGGGGGTGGGGAATTTCCTTTGAAGGTAAATTTAAATGTTTTGCATTGGCGGAGCCGGGGCGGGGTTGTCAGGGGTTTCGGAACACACCACCCACCACCCACCGCCCACCTTTGAAAATTCCTCAGTCCGCTATTGCTGTATATTGTTTCAGCATGCTTTAGCCTTATGGATTTGTATTTGTTCGTATTACACTGTTGCCTACTGTTTGTTATTAAAAACTTTAAATCGTTTGTTTTGTTCTGTCTTTTGGGATAACATATCACATCAAGAAAATATTAGCCGCACCATTTGGCATCAAGGCACTGTCAACGACTAAGAAATACCACTGTATAAAATGATAGTGCTAATACCCCGTCATTGAATATATACCCGTGAGGATCCGGGGTAGAATTGGCAGACTTACGGGATCGGGTGGTCAGACTGGCTGACTTGGTTGACACATGTCATCGTGTCCCAATTTCGTAGATTCGATGCTCATGGATCACTGGATTGTCTGGTGGTCCAGACACGATTATTTACAGACCGCCGCCCTATAGCTGGCATATTGCTCAGTGCGGCGTTAAACAGACAACCAACCAACCAATCATTGACTGTATGAGCCTTGATCCCAGTTATTTTGGGGCGGTGGGGTAGCCTAGTGGTTAATGCGTTCGCTCGTCACGCCGAAGACCCGGGTTCGATTGCCAACATGGGTGCAATGTGTGAAGCCCATTTCTGGTGTCCCCCGCCGTTATATTGCTGGAATATTGCTAAAAGCGGCGTAAAAACAAACTCACTCACTCACTCACTCCCAGTTACTTTAGCATTACAAGCCCCTGTGGTTACACATACGCACAAATCCATAATTACATAAGGTCTCACTCGAAAGTAGGTTTTACAATACATGTGAAAAATGGCAAAATATCTTTGATATTGCAATTCCATGGCAACATATACTGAGTCAAAAAAGAAACTTCACAAAATGTACTTTGAAAATAATATTTCTCTGATGATACATCTATGTATCCTAAATGGGATCCCTATCTTTCGACTCTAGAAAAACGTTAGCAAAACCCACTCAAACCATCCATTCCTCGCGCAAATGACGTTAGTGCCAAATCAGGTTTTGCACGTGCAGTCGATCACGTGATATTCGCATCGAAGTTTTCTTCATATGCACGTGGTTGCAGTGGCCTCAAGAATTGAAAAAAACACTTTTAAACCACAGTTCTAACGGTACTTGAAATGCCACGATTGTCAAATGTGCAACGTGAACGCGCCGTTGGCGTGTTGCAAGCGGGAAGATCAGTTATTGACGTCGCAAGAGCAATGGGATGCAGACGTCGTACTGTGTATGACTTGCGAGGTCGTCTACAACAAACTGGCACCACTTCTGATCGCCCAAGGTCGGGTCGTCCACGTGTGACGTCACGAGTAGAAGACCGTCAAATCGTCCTACGTCATCTACGTGACAGATTTCTGCCGGCTACACGAACCAGGGCTGAGATGTTTAGAGGTCGACTGTCCTCACAGACCATTCGAAATCGGTTGCGGGCTGCCAGTCTCCATTCTCGACGTCCATATCGTGGGCCAATATTGACGCCGTTCCATCAACGTCAACGTCTGCTGTGTGCCCAACGTCACCTCCGATGGACCCAGAGAGACTGGAATCGAGTCGTCTTTAGCGATGAATCCAGGTTTACCCTCAGATTCGCGGACGGCAGGCATAGAGTCTGGAGACGACGTCGTGAACGGTATGCCCAATGCTGTGAACAGGAAGTTGACGGATTCGGGGGCGGAAGTTGCATGGTGTGGGGTGCTTTCTGTGGGAACAACCGTTCCCGACTTCTGGTCATCCATGGAAACCTCACAGCTGCTGCTTACCGCGACTAGGTGCTCACCCCTGAACTCGTTCCTTTCATGGCGGCTCATGGCCCAGGTATGCTCGGCCGCATACCGCGATGTTGACACGAAATTTCCTTCAAAACGCTGGAATCAACGTCATGGACAGGCCATCGAGGTCCCCTGACCTTAATCCAATAAAGCACGTTTGGGATGCACTTGGGAGAAGGCTTCGTGGTCTTAGGAACCAACCTCAGAATTTGCAGGAACTTGGCGCTGCTTTGCAAGAGCAATGGCGCAGAATCCCCAACTACGTGTTCACAGGCATCAGGCAGTCGATGAGGAGACGGTGTTTGGCAGTGGTGTATGCGCGGGGCGGCCATACACGATATTGAACTGAGAAATTTCGCATTTTTATTCTTGTGATTTGACATTCTGTATACCCATGTTTTGGAACGGCGGTGTACCCTAATGGAACTGATTATGGCACTGTCAGTGCCACGAGTACATCACACAGATCTCAGTAATAAAAAATAATAATAATTTAACCGTCTTACCATCTCTTGTTCTTTTATAGTGCCCTGAAGAAAGAATGTGAAGTTTCTTTTTTGACTCAGTATATTTTCAAAAAATATAGAAGATGTACAAAAGATACTAAATTGATTGACTTCCAGTTTAAATTTATCCACAATATTGTCTATACAAAAAAAGAATTATTGAGAATGAAATTAGTAGATGATGAGCTTTGCTCATTTTGCAATTTAATGTAAGAAAATTTGATACATGTTTATTGGGAAGGTGAATGTGTGAATACGTTTGGTTGAAACTCAAAGAATATATTGAAGATAAATCAATGACAAAATATACAGTCTTAATTGGCGGAAATAATACCGACGTTATGAACCCTATACTTCTTGCCAGTAAAAAATACATCCATGTATCAAGTTTTAAAAAAGATAAGTTATCACTGGATTCATTTGTAACAGTATTGAGTATATTTTCAAGATAGAAAAGTTTATTGCCACTAAAAATCAAAAACATATTACAATTTGACAGGAAATGGTCATACCTATTGCACACATTCCCAGCTTAATACTAATGAAGATTCGAGTATGTGTAATGCCAACCCATATGAACTTCTGGGTTTTTTTGTGTTCAAGTTTTGTTGCATCATGTACTTTGTATATTTGTATCTACTGAATTTGAATGAATTAAAAAAAAAAGGTTTTACAATACACATTTTAAACATTACAGTATTATTTCAATTACAATTTTTACGTCTCATTCTACAATCTATAACAATATTATTTACAATTTAAAACATGAGCTGCAACAAAATCATTTACAATTTAGAAACATAATACCAAGCAATTAGTTATGCACGTATTTATTTACAGAGTGAGCGAGTTTTACGCCACTTTTAGCAGTAATCCAGCAACATCCCCTCGGGGGACACCAGAAGTAGGCTTCACACATTGTACCCATGTGGGGAATCGAACCTGGGTCTATGGCGTGACGAGCGAACCCTTTAACCACTAGGCTACCCCATCGCCCCTATACATGCCAGCTGACACGGTTAAACGAATCTTGTGAATTTACTTTTTATCTGTTGCATCTCAAAAAGGTTTTACATCTCAAACAGGAAAGATTACAAGGGCAGTTATAGGTAAGTAACTATTTCAGTAAACGCTCATTGTCTTTATTGTTTCCAGGAGGAGTATGTTTTATCTGTGTATACTTTGGCTGCTTCGCCCGCTCTGCACTGAGTTTTTTTCATCAAATTACCACCTTATTTGGATAAGGTAATCCATTATTGATACAGTTCATTGTGCAACAACGCTCGCATCAGTCGTTGTCAAGAAAACATTAACATTAGATA